GAGTGGCTGCTTTTCTTCCGTGGAACAACCGTCTTGAACATAAGGCGACGCGGTCACTCGTTTCCTAGGGCCTCCCGCCTATTGAGTATACCGCCGCAATGAAGTCGGTGGCATAAGGCGCACGTGCTGCACGCGTGCCAACCCTCATCCAGATGACTTCTAATTGAATTATCGTAATCACCGGACGAAAAATTTCCTCCGACCGACTTTTGTCTTGCGCCAACGAGTTCCTTTCGAGACGGTTATTAACCGTCACGGTGGTGGGGCACCGAATTTTTATCGCACCCCTTAATAACGTCCCTTTTGGGAGTCATTTTCGGCTGTTTCGATCCTTTTTAACCGGGGACTAATGAAGAGAAGGGGAGGATTGGATCGTTACGAAGCGTGCTTTAATTTCGGAATATTCGGAGGGGTGGAAGAGGATTTTTACGAAGAGGAAAATATTTCAAAGGTAAATTGAAGTTGGGTGTGAAGAAGATGGAGGATTTTAAAAAATTTTCGTTATTAATATTGGTGAAAGTGATTGAATCGTGAAAGGAAGATAGAATTTATACTTGTGTGAACTGGTGGGATTTTTGAAAATGTATTTTGTGATATAATTTTATAAAATTATTGTTAAGCCTTTAAAGAAAGATGTTACGCAAGGATGTAGCTGAAATTGCTTTGACTTTAATTAAAAATACAATATATTAGATAAAAGTTAGATAGTTTCGAATCGATTTATAATATATTTACAAAATTTCATTCAAACTTGGGAATTATCTTCAACTTTTTTTTTTTTTCTTCTTTCTTAATTGGTAAGCTTTCTTTAAATTTATTAAAGAGATAGCTCTTGCACGCGTAAATTAAATTTCGATAAATTTCACTTCTCTTTGCGTATGTTACATTTTATCTGTGATTATGAGAACGGAATTCCACTGTTCCTAAATTTGTTGATATCTCTATTTCCCAATTTTCTAATTTACGTTGCAGCTACTATTTTTTAGAGAGAGAAAGAAAGAGACAGAGAGAGAGAGATAGACGTTATCCACGAGATTAAGAGAGTTGATAACGTTATGCATGAAGTTTACTAACTGACGATGTACAGTTGTAGATTACGTTTTATCTAGATCAGCTAACAACTGATGTTAGTACGATGTTTGACTATAATCTACTACTACTTAAACCACGTAGATCACGAAATGTCTGGAAATAAGGTAAATAACACGAAATATTCCAGTTTCTTCGAAAACAGAAACAAAGAAAGCAAACAAGAAAAGAATAAACATGTTCATTAAACCATGTTTATATATTAAGCAACTTTTTTAATCTTATCCTAATAAGGAATGATGGAGGCACGTAAAATTTTAAATTATATTGAATTAATTTTTAATTATATTGAATTTAGAAATCTTTCGAAGTATCGATCGAATCAATATTATTTAAATTTCCTCCTTTCTAAAAAATCTTCCTTTCCACAAAATTAATAAGCTCTTAATTTTATTCAATTACAAAATTTTTAATTCCATCTTAAACTTTAAAGAATATTTAATTACATTGAATTGAAAAATTTTTCGAAATATCGATCGAATCAATATTATTTAAATTTCCTCCTTCCTAAAAATTCTTTCTTTCTACAAAATTAATAAGCTCTTAATTTTATCCAATTATAAAATTTTTAATTTCATCTTAAAGAATATTTAATTACATTGAATTAAAAAATTTTTCGAAGTATCGATCGAAATCAATATCGTTCGAATTTCCTTAAAAAACCTTTCCTTAAAAAACCTTCTTCTCCACAAAATTAACAAACTTTCAATTTCATCCAATTACAAAATTTTTAATTTCGCTTTAAACGAACAAATCGAACTATTTATATTCAAACATCAACACGTATACGTATTACGTATAGGATTAATAGGACGCACAATCGAATCGAAATCCTCTTAAATTTTTACGGCGAAAATTACAAACAAAACCAAGCGCGTAAATGTCACGAGTACAAGAGGCACACGAATATAATTCATTCGCACGCGAGACGCGCGACAGGGTGGTCTCCCTTTCCGTGATAAGGCGGTATTTCGAGGGTTACGTGCATTACAAAGAACGTTTTGTGGTGCCACCGGGTAACCACAAGTCACGCAGCATATCGACACGAACAGCATAATTATGGAGCGCTTTTTCTTCTTTTTTTTTTTTTTTTTTCTCCTTTTTTCCCCTTTTTTTCTTTTTTTTCTCGGTCGACTATTACACGGATTGTGTTCTTATTAGTTCTTATTAGTGTGCATCGGCCAAACGTTACGACGATTCTCGGCAAAATACTCTTTTGGACACGTAATCAGGCTCCATAACGAAATTTCGGGCCCAACGGTTATCGCGGAATTTCATTGGTAATTTCGTTTATTAAGGCCACTTAGCTTGGATGCCTCGTTGCTGAATGAAACGATCCTGGTTTCATGGTTATTTTCGCAAGCGGTCGAACAGAGAAGTTTTAGTTAGTTTTTGATTAATTATTTATTTATTATTTATTAATTTATAATATATTATATATATAATAATATATATATATAATATATTTTTATTATAATTTATAATTATTTATTAATTT